GTACAAGAAGAGACTTAAGCAAGGCATTGAATGGAATTTGCGGTGGCCTCTACTTCCCTGCCAAGCAGAGTGAGTGGGAAAGAGAGGAGAAGAGGAGGTAGGTGCTGAGAGAGGAAGGGAAAGAGAAAGGAAAAGACTTTGAGGTTCTGTGACCTTCTAGCCTAAGCCAGGTGGGTGGGCCTCTCCTTTGTGCCATTCCCAGCTATTTCTCTCTGCTTATCCCAAACACATCCTACTGCGGTCATTGGTTTAGAGCCTGCTGCTCTTTAATGACAGAGGTGGCCTTATTTATCATAGTGTTTCCAGCACCTCGGCCACAGAGGGCAATCCGTAGAAGGCCAGCTCTAGCTGAATGCTTAGTCCCTGGGCCAGGTACTGCACGGATGCTTTTTCATGAGGCAGATTCCACTATTCCCATTTCACAGGTGAGGGAATTAGATGCAAAGAGAAGATAAGCCATTATTCAATGAGCTTTCAGGGGCAGGAGAATTTATAACAGTGAGAAAAGTTGAGCGTTGTTATGTATGCCTACGTGAGCTGGACATTTCTGGAAACCTTGCCCAGCTTTCCAGGGCACAGCCAGTCTGCCAGGCTCTGAACCCAGAGTGACATCTCATTAGCATTCAGAGGGGGATATACCCACAGGGGACGCCATCCAGAGCATCAGGAAGAGAAAGGCTGTATTTTAATTATGACCTGGACTTTTTAACAAATCCTTTTCTCTGCTTTTCTGAGCCTTAGAGAAAACAACTTGTGGGAGGTGTGCAGTCGGCAGCTGGGTCCACAGTGGTACCCAGACAGCTGTGTACACATCTGACACACAGGTGGCAGACTGCATGTGCCTTTTCTCCTTGAATTGCTCTGGGGTTAGTGAGGTAACAAGAGCCAAGGTAGTAAGGTGAGGTTGACCTGGCTTGGACCCAGAAGGGGAGAGCTGATAGAAAGAATAGAGATAAACAGGACTGCCCCCTCTTCTGGTATGTAATTTCCAGTGACCATGGCCATTTCAGGATTTGAGTCCAGACCTCCTGCCACTTCCTCCAGCCGCTCCTGAGTCAACATGGTGGGCTTTCTTTGTTGAGCTCACTCCAACCCTCCCTTCTCCAACTTGGGGGAAATTTTTGGAGTGGGGGATGAGATTAAGATGGGAAGAAAAAGAGGAGGAGATTAACAGGCTAGAAGTTAGACAAGCACAGATGCTACCACCTGCTGCTGCAGATTCTCAAGTGCTTGTTGACTCCCTGGGAGCGTTTGCCTGGAGTCTGTTTAACAGCTCATTCCAAGGGAAGGGGAAGAAAAGGAGGGCTTGGGGACAAAGGGCCTTTGACTGGCTCCTGGAAAAGTGTTGATTAGTTTGCTCAGGTTGGCAAACAGTGACTAGGGACTTAGGGCCCAGGGATGAACTGGATAGATTTTCTGCCTGGTGCACAGTGTCCAGCATGGGGGAGGGAGTAAAGGCAAATATTCGAGGGCTGGTGTGCCCAGAGGTTCAGGCATAGAGAGAAAAACCACACGGGGCAGTAGGAGGAAGGGAGAGGACAGGAAAGGGCTGCTGGTACCAGGAGTTCTGTTTTGGGGGTCCTACCATGTTAGTGGTGAAAGAATGACATCAGCCCCTTGGACTGTCCTCCAACTTCATTTCTCTTTCTGAAGTTGAGAAGCAGAGGGAAGCATATCAAGATGGGTGTTTCTGGGGTTGCTCCTGATGGCCAAGGGCAGGGAGGACTGGTGTGGTGTCTCAAGACCTGTGTTGAAAGTAAGATAGCATGTGCATTTCCCCTCGCGCAGACTGGCCCTGTCCTGGGAGGCTGTTCCCTAGTGAATTCATGGGAGGCAGCTTCATTCTCTTCTCCAAGCCTTGGCTTCCGTCACTCCCAGAGTTTGCATGGCCTCCCTCTTTCTTGTGCCAATCTGTGTGTAATTCCTCCTAGGGAATTCGTCCTTCACTTCCTCTTTACTCCACCCTCAAAACTCTTCCCTTCCTCCAGAAAGCTTCCAAGGTAAACACACTGTGCACATGTATTGACTTAGAGTCATAAACTAGTAGAATTTTAGAGCTGGGAAGTGATTAAATATTATAATGAAATGTATTACAGCTTTATGTCATTCTATTTTGTATTCATAGGACATTGCTTTGTACTGTTCTTATATTCTGTTTCCTAAGTAAATACCTATAGCAGATATTATCTATCCGTTCATTTATTTGTTTATTTACTGTCTCTCCTACAAGCACGTGAGCTCCATGGGGTTGAGGATTTGTCTTGTATCCTCCTGTGTCTACAGTGCCTGACACATAACACTCGATATATCCTTGTTTATGTACCTGAATACTATCGGGGTGGTGTTTTTTTTTTTTTTTTTTTTTTTTTTTTTTTTTTTTTGCCTCACCTCCCTGTTAAGACAGAGTGTATGGTGTATTGTAGGACTCACAGTGAATGCTTCTGAATAAATGAAAGATTGAACGAAAAGAGTAAATAATTGAATGAATGTGTGAATGAACTTTTTAGATGAGATTGTCCACACTTAGGCCATCGTGGTAGTTGGCCTGTCTATAGGAAAATGCTCTTCACTTATTCATGTTTTCTTAGCTCCCGCCGAGGTGGAGCTCATGAGCAGAGCAAACTGGCATCAGCTCCCTGGATATACTCGGAGTCAGCTTGTGTCTGTCTTTGGGAAGAGGGAGTAGCGTGGAGTTTTATGTGCTTACTCTGGTCTTTCTATCCCTTCTTTCCATTCTCTCCCTTACACCATCTGACCTTCGTACATCTATTGACTCCTCTGGTATGTGGAGACAAACAGAGAGTGTTTTCGAGAGAGTTTTTTCTCCCCAGTGTGCTGCTGCTTTAAAAAAGAAAACGATTCTTTATTTTGGAAATAGTGAAATGACTGCTATGATGAATGAATCCCAGAGATACTTTTAGGGTATATTGTCTCTGTGCTTATGACAAAGCTTTGAGAAACACAAGAATGGTATCATCAGGCAATTTGAAAAAGACCAAAAAAAACAGAGAGATCAGATGTAAATGTTAGGGCTTTCATAGGCTGCCACGAACTGTTATTAATCTAGGGTGACAAGAGAAGAGACACCTTTATTGGGTGCTTATTATGTGTTAGGTCCTGCACTAGGCTCTTTACACATGTTATTTTAGAAAAAAAGTGAACAAATGAGATCCATGGGTCAAATCAAATCAGCTTTTGTTGAGTTCCCCCATGTACAAGAGGCTGTGGAGTATGTGAGTATCCCATAGGCCTTGTTTTTGAAATACGAACTGTTGACAAGATAAGTTATAAACATGGGAAAAGTTAAATAATAAAGCAAGATTAAAATGATATTTTGAGTCAGCAATGATGATAAAACTTTTGGAAGTGGAAGAGATGGTCTGGCCTAAATGTCTTTAACAACAGCCAGAGGAAAGGAGGTGCCTGGAGTGAAACAGTTACCTGTGGAACTGGCAGCAGCACCCAGGCCTCCAGGTCCCACTGCTTCTTGTGTTATAGTCCCGAGACTTCTCCAGAACACTGTGAATGACCAGCACAGACAGTTTGTGGTACCTGCACTCAAAGGCTTCAGGCCGGGGCAAGGAGATCAGGGCAGGATTCAATGAGAAAGAGGGAGCTGCTGTGTCCTGGAGGGTGGTTTGGATTCAGAGAGATTAAACAAAGAAGGAAGGGCTTTCCAGGAGGGTGGAATGGCATGAACAGCTCCGAGGTAGGAAATGAGGGGCATCATCATCATTGTCACCTGCCAGCTCTGACACCAGGAGCCAGGGGGAAGCCGCCACGCTTCCCTATCTCCCAGCTGTGGGTTCTGCGCCCTCTCTTGTCTTCCCTGCTGCTGCCTGAGTGCTGGCCCTGGTCCCTTCTCAGCTGCTCACTCATCTCTTTACCTCCATTTCCATCCCACCTTTCATACTGCTATGAGTCCCTTTTCCAAAATATGTTTTATCATCTTAAAACATTGTTCAGTGACCCCTTATTGCTTGTCAGATGACATACGGCACCTTATTGTAGGATCCGATCATGACTTACCTCACCTGCCACCCCTCCTGAGGCCCTGCCTCGCACCTGGTGTTGTACACCCCATGGCCTGAGCACACCGTGCACACTCACAACTTCAGGACTTCACATGTGCTGTTCCCTCTGCTGGGAATCCCCGCCCCCCCCCTCCCCATGCCAGCCTCCCTTCCTTTCTTCCTACCTTCTGTTTGATTGAGATTTACTGAGTACATAATAAAATCCCCCCAGTTACCCACCGTGAGTTAGTTGTTTTCCCCTCTCTACTCACTTTAATTATTTGTATATGTCTGTCTCTCCCATTAGCCTGAATTTATTTCTGGAAGGGATTTTCTTCTATTCACCTTCACATCACTAGCACTTACTGCTTTTGGCTAACTTATACTCACATAAACATTCTCTAAGTGTTTTGTTGAAAATAAAAGAAATGAAAGAAGAGTAAAGTCCTGAGGGATAGGCTGAATCCACTGAATGTCAGGCTGGGAAGTAGGGGTGTAGTTTATCTTTCAAAAACTAGACTACACATCTAGGAGCTTACACATTCGGGAAACTTGTTAAAAATTCACATTCTGGGGCCACACCCTTTTACCTGTTGGTTGATGGGAGTGGGCCTGGACATTTTTGTTACTGTTATTGTTGATTTAAGTATTAAGCTCCCTCCAAGATTCTGGGCAGCCGTCTTGGCACCAGTCTATAGGCCAGCCTTTGGGAATACTGTGTCATGGACCACACTAAGTACATCCCAGGCATTCGCTCAGACGCTCTTCTTCTAGTGTCTCTCAACCATTCTTTGCTTAAGCCTTTGAGAGAGTAACTCAACTGAATGCTTTAGTTCAACCTCCTCAGGGAATAAATAACCCAATTTAAAGTAAATTCCATTCCAAGCATCCTCTTCCCAGTTCTTGGCTCCTTTTGCTGTTGAGTTTAGGGGCCCATGCCAGGCCTTAACTCACTGTGCATATCCTCCCTTTCTCCCCTGCTGCCAGGCTGTTTGCTGTCAAATGTGGGGGCTGCTTTGAGGCCATCGCACCCAACGAGTTTGTAATGCGAGCCCAGAAGAGCGTATACCATCTGAGCTGCTTCTGCTGCTGTGTCTGTGAGCGACAGCTTCAGAAAGGTGATGAGTTTGTCTTGAAGGAAGGGCAGCTGCTCTGCAAAGGGGACTATGAGAAGGAGAGGGAGCTGCTCAGCCTGGTGAGCCCAGCAGCCTCAGACTCAGGTGAGTGCCATGTGGTGGGCAGTGCTGCGTTGGGGTGGGTAGAGTGAAGTGGGGTGGCCATCTGCACTGCTTCCTCCCTGGAAGGCCAGCCTCCAGGGCAGCCTGTCTCCATGGCAAGGCAGTTCTGTGTATTCCAGAAACTTTCTTAGTAAGCTCAGAGTGATCAGCTATTGCCATAATGATGCTGTGTAACAAATTACTCCCCAATTCCATGGCATGCAACTGTGGATACTTACTTACACATTCACAAGTCACTGGGTAAACTGGAGTGACCATTCAGTCTTCAAGTCAGCTGGTGTCTGCTGATCTCAGCTGAGCTTAGCTTCAGGTTCAAGACCAGGGTCTGGCCTGCTCTGTGTGATTCATTTCAGGGTCTAGGTTTGAGGAGCAGCAGCTACAGGGCAGGATCTCCTGGCAGTCGCAAAAGTACAAGAAGGCATGCCTAACCACACAAGCACATGTCGAGCCTCTGCCCACATTGTATCTGCTAATCTTTCATTGGCCAAATTACAGGATGAAACCCAAAGTTGTGGTGAGGGGAAATATACTCTGTGCAGCACAAAGCTCTGCCAGACTTACATACATCATTACATGTTATGTGTAGATGCATAATACTGTTAAAGGAAATGATGAATTGGAACCAGCAATTCAGTCTACCACAATATGAACTGCTCTAAGCCTCTGTTTCCTTGTCTGTCAAATGGGAAAGATAGAATCCATCCAAAGCTTGGTGGGTCACATAAAGAAAGGAACCAGAATATATTTGTTCTTCCTCCTCATCACCTACCTTATTTCCACCTTGAGGGGAAGGGCAAGAGGGGAGACAAAAGAAGTTCAGCAATTTTACAGAGCAGATTTCACAAGGCCAGAGAAATTATATGAAATCAAAGCTGTCTAAATTTAGTATGGAATGCCTTTCCAGAGTGTTATTCCCCACAGTGTAGAGTGTGTCATATCCCCAAGACTCTGTGAGATCCAGTGAGGTGATATCCATGTGACTTCCTAGTTCTTGCCATTGCCCAATTCCAGTCCAATTCCAGACCCCTTGACACAACTTCCCAGGCCCTCTGGAAGCTCATTCTGCCCATCTCTTTCATCTCTTTGGGAGCCTGTGGTCCCCTCCAGCCTTACTGGATTCCAGCAGCCATCAGTGTCTCCCACCCACTTCCAGACCTGAAAGGCCTGTTTCCTCTCTGCCTCTCTCCCTCTCTTGTCTCTTTAGCACATCCACTAGGTTTCCCTCTAAATGCTACTTCATTGGGGAAGCCTCTTATTCCTGGTGCTGGGTGAGTTTAACCTTAATTTCTCCTGCGACAGTGATCCCACTTGATCGTGGTTGCTTGTTTGGTTGTTTCTCATTCCTCTCAGAGTGCTAAGCTCCATGAGGGACAGTGTGTGTCTTATTTACCACTGCGTCCCCAGTGCTTAGCACAGTCCTGCCACATTGAGGGTGCTCGATACCCTCTCTGTTAAAGAGTGAATAAACACATGAAACAAAAGCACCATGGCCTGCTGATTAAGCTCAACAGCTTTGGAGACAGACAGATGGGGTGCCTTATCCTGGCTGCAACACTGTATCTGTGTGATTCCGGGCAAGTTTCTGAACCTCTCAAAGCCTTGATTTTTACACCTGTGAAATGGTGATAATCGTGCCTATCTAACAGGTTTATTGTTGAGGAATAAAAGAAATCATGCATATAAAGATCCTAGTGTTCAATAAAGGCTGGTGCTTAACATCTGCTGGTTTTAGTCAACATCTTCATAGCCCTTGTGTTTTGCTTCCTTTCCCTCCCACTTAGTTCTTGCCTGACTCTGCTTGCAGCTTAAGTAAACTGATACCGGGACAATCCCAACTCCTGCTGGGCTTGTTGGTCTTACGTTTTCCTGGATTTGTTTTAATTTGAGGCAAATTTCTCCTTGTCAGGAACACTGACACTGACATATTGACTATCTCCTGGAGTAATTGGGCACATTCTAATGGCCTCTACTTGGCACAAGAAGGTCAGCTTACCCTGCCATATCCCTTCAGGTGTCCTGCTGTGCCCACCCACATAGACCTCCTCTCCAGGACATTACAAAATCTTCAAGTTCCCAAAAGGCTTAGGTGCTATGGTGATCAGAATACCAGCATGACCTTAGAGAGACACGCATACCCAGAGGGACATACCATTCTTCTGCATATGGAAATAAATGCTGTGGTCTAGCCTTTCTTGATATACAGTTGTGTGGGGCTTCATCACTATTAGCCCCTATATTAGAGGTTTACAGATTTTTTCTTTACTACGAACTCATTATGAGGCTTTAGTGTATTGTCCCCCTGCCCCCTTCCACACTGCTCTGCAAAAAGAAGAAAAAAAAGGCAATAAGGAATATCTTTAGAGAGAAGAATTAGAATTCATTCATTTAATCATTCAGCAAAATCATGGAGTTCCTATACTATAGAGAGAAAGGTGTAGGGAAGCAATTTTTGACTCAACGCAGAGAATGTTGGAATGGCATTCTAATGATTAGATCTAACAAAGAGTAAAACTACTCAAGAGATAGCTCCTCTCCTTCCATTTGTTAAACTAGTACTGGCAGGGTGGCTCTAGAGGACAAAACCTCTGTTGTGCCTTTCAACCCTAAAAATCTATCATTATTTAGGTAGTTTTAAATAAAGTGACATCAAAGTCTCAACCAAAATCAAGTATCTTGTCTGTACCACTCATTTTGTCAATTGTATAAGTGCTATGTGTCTTGGATCATAAAATGCTTTTTTGTGCCAAAGCCTGCTTCACTATTGAGAGGACAAACTTCTAGAGAACAGAGTTGTAGCTTTAATTCCTATGTTCCCTTCACAAAGCTTAGCATAGTGCCAAGAGAAAAGTAAGTGATCAATAGTACCTAATGAGTTGAATTAAATCTTTGAGGAAAGAAGTCCACCTCTTCTTAGGGGTTTACAGAAAGCAAACAATTTTAGAGTTTGTTTCAGTACAGATACAATTTCTCTTCTGGTTTCTATCCTGAGTGCCTTATATAATGTAGGTGCTCAATAAATATTTGTTGAGTGAATGATTGACTGACTTGTCATCTTTAACATTTTTATCAATGACACAGAAGGCAGGTTTATTCAATTTGTGGATGACACAAACCTGGCAGGGAATGCTGGTGTGGCAGCTGAAACTCACAATGTTCAAAAAGATTTTGACAAGCTAACGGAACAGCACAAAGCTGGCGAGATGAAATCTAACCAGCAGTTTCCAAAATTCAAGTGTAATTGTATGAAATGGAGGCTGTTTTGATGGGATTCCACGTGGAGTTCCAGTTGATGATAAAGTCCATAGGAGCCAAAAGGATATATGCTGCATTAGTAGAACTAGAGTGTCCCTAACAAGTAATTGTAGTTTTTCTTTTTTACATTGGTCGGACAGAGCACATTTAGATATTTGGGCTAATTTTAAATGGTACATTTTAGGAGGTCACTGGCTAATTAGAGAGAGTCTTCAGGAGAGTGATTAGTTTGTTAAATGATAAATAACTAAAGAAACTAGGTATATTTAGCTTTGTAAAAATAAGGCTAAGGGATATATGAGAGTCACACCCAAGGTTGCAGACCTATGTACTAGGGGTGAAATGAGAGATTTTGGTTCAATATAGGGTAGAACTGTGTCTGACAAGGGTGCCCACTGGACCGCCTTTATGGGAAGTGAAATTGCTTGCCTCTTAACATCTTAATTGCAGTTGGTGGAAGACGGTATCAACCTGCATCAATGACCTCTGGGGCTGCTTAAATGTAGGATGCTAGAATCTATGGTTTTATGATAATGACTTATCTGACTTACACAGAAGTGTTAGACGTGTTCACAGATACACGGGACACTGAACTCAAGACATCTTCAGCTGTTGGATACTTTTTTCTGGTGTGATCCAGCCTTTTTTGTCCTGGTCCCTTCTTTGTCAGTGGCCTTGAAGTATCCTTTCAAGCAGATAAATGGAATTTGTAGCCAAAGTCAGACAATTTTCTTTGGGGCTCAGTGGGCAACTTGGATGCCCAGGGTCACCAGGACAGACCCCGCAAATTCATGCCTGTGCTCTTCTCCTGCACCAGCGAATCTCAGGCTCTTGCAATTGGTAGGCATTGGATGTTAACTAGCTCAAACTTCATCAGATGCTTATCCAGCCCACGAGTGAATATCTTCAGCCACAGGGAGCTACAGAGATATAGGGGGAAATACCCAAAGTGCATTTCCTGCTCTCTACTCTCCACTCAACACAACACTTCTGACACCAGATATATGGGTTTTTTTCCCCCAAACACAAGCAATTCTCCACCGAACACCAGCTGATGTCCTCTAACTCAATTCAATTCTGACATGATCTGCCTGGAGATAGTATCAGATTCCACAGGTTAAGGGCTCAGTCCTACAATATTGCCTCTCCTGCCTTCAGATTCCAATCACAAGTGATAGATCGTCACTAATAGTTCTGACTGATTGGCTATATATCGGGGTTCCCATGACCCCTTTCCAGGTTAAATTAATTTGCTACAGCAGCTCACAGAACTCAGGGAAACTCTTACATTTACCCATTTATTACAAAGATATTTTAGAGGATACAAATGAACAGCCAGATGAAGATACATAGAACAAGGTATGAGCATGGAGTTTCAATGCTCTTTGAGCGTGCCATTTTTCAGAAACTTCTGTGTGTTCAGCTATCTAGAAGCTCCATGAATTCCCATCCTTTTGGGTTTTTATAAAGGCTTCATTACATAGTCATGATTAATTACATCATTGGCCATCGGCAATCAACTCAACCTTCATCCCCTCTCCATCCCCCTCTCCCTTCCAGAGGTTGGGGTGTGGGGCTCAAAGTCCTAACCCTCTAATCAGGGACCAGAACCCATCCTGAAGCTATCTAGAGGCCCCCAGCCATCCATCATCTCTTTAGCATACAAAAAATACTCATCACTCAGATTCCAAAAGCTTTAGGAGCTTTTTGCCAGGACACTGGACAAAGAC